CTGACAACCTGACTGTATTTTTGTCTGTCAAATGTCAAAGCGACTGCTCTAAACTTAATGGCTTTCTGCCAGAAATCAGCCAGTGGTCCAAGGAAAACGGTCTTACCCTAAACCCCTCCAAATGCCAAACAGTCAATTTCACCTTTAGGCATAAATCCGACCTAAACAAACTGGTTGGCTCTCACGACGCATGCAACATAGAAGGTACTGAAATAGAAACCAAATCGGAAATTATATACCTAGGCGTCATTCTCTCTGCTGATCTCTCCTGGTCTTCTCATATCTTAGCGATTTCTAAGAAAATATTCCGTCTTACCTTCTACATCAAGAAGTTAAGACATTCTGGTATAACCCAACCCTTACTCCTACAATTCGTTAATTCTCGCATCCTGCCTATTACTCTCTATTGTTACCCCTTAGTTTTTCCTGGGCTACTGAAAAAAGACTATAACATTTTACGCAGGATGTTAAATGTTGTTAGCAGGGTAAGCAACGTGCCACTTAACCAGCTTGCTAACATTCTGGTTGACAGGCACATGGACTCATGTGAAAAATGGGCCAAATCCATTTTATCTAACTCACATCACCCAATTCACTCACAACTCTCCCCCTGCATCTCATCAGGTAAAACCAGAAGTCAATATAGAAAACTATATGCTCGCACCAGCAAGTACAAAACTCAACCATACCCTACTTAGCTCGTGTACTGTGCGATAAAGAAAGCATTAGGCGTGACACCTATAATTCATTAAATAGTCAGTAGAACAACTGGATCTCGTCTTTCCAACTCATATCATTTATAGGTACAACATTTTCTTTCTTTCTTTTACTTTTCTCTCTCTTTTTCTGTTATGTGCTGCTTTGTTTCTTTCTCTCGCTTACGCCAGTAAATATGATAGCACCTACTTTTCTAACACCTTCAAACACGGTTCAACTTTGGCTTTGCTACCGACATGCCAATACGTTGCTTTCATAATGAACTGAGATTTCTTTAATCTATGTAGAATTCTATTTATTGATAATGCACTAGCTGGATGCAATACTGTAGTAAAAATGCTAAGAATTCCATTCTGTCTCACATGTACTATTTTGGAATAAAGCAAATCATTTTTTTTTTTATCTCTTACATAATACCACATTTTCGATAATTGTTCTGTACATCCTGACTAAAACTCATTCATTATTTTATTTATCTGATTGTGTAACTGCAACACACTTATTTAACTTGTCTGAAGTGCAAATATTGGTCTACAGATGTTAGGCAGCTGGAGTCATTCAGCTTGGTGAATGGGGTATTCTAAAGTACTTAGCATGTTGGGCTATGCTCACATTTTATATTTTACTGATATTATTACTTATTTTATTCCTTCGCATCCTGAGTAGAACACAGGGCTTCAAGTTTGAGCTTTCAAGTAGAACTGGTGTTAATTTTTTTTACGTGGTGAGGTTGCTAGCCTCACACTCAACCTTCCCTCTATATCGGGTTTACAATTGGCTAAAAAAGGTTTACGGGTGAATTGGTCGACGCCTGGATACCGAATCACGTGTTTGGTTAGTGAATATTATACAAGTGAACCACTGATGCTTACATTTCCGTATACTGTTTTTTTTCTTTCACTTTCCCAGTGGAACATAGAGCTTCAAGCTAGTGTGGCTTGAAGTTTTTGTAGTAGTGTTTATTTTACAGGGTGGGGTTGCTAGCCTCATGCCCAACCTTTCCTCTTCACCAGCATTATTTCTGGCTTAGCGAGGTAAAGGAGTGCGTCCGTGGCCGGGGATCGAACCCCGGACCATGTGCATGGTCGGAATGACTACTAAATATGATGGAATGAGCAACTTCCAGAGCAACTGAGAAACGCCAAAATCCACAAGTTATATAATTCTAAGTAGGTGTTATTGTTTACTGTGTATACATATCTCAAACTTATCTTGTGTACTTAAGTGAGGCATTTCTGTGGAAGGACAATAGTGTCAAAAATAATTCTGATCGAATGAACAGCGTTTGCCATCCTTACATTGGGAGGATTTCACTATTATTATTATTTCCTTTAATTCCTCGAGGAACATAGGGCTTCAGCCATGCGTCTCCATTGCGTTCGGTTCTCTGCTGTAGTTTTCACCTGGCTCCAAGTCTGCCCACACGCTTTCAATTCCTCTTCACATGATCTCCTCCAGGTCACCCTTGCACTGACGACCAACTCGCCGATTCCCTTTTGGGTTCCACTTGAGCAATGGCTTGTCTAGTGATGTCATTTGATGGTTTCCTCAGAGTGTGGCCAGCCAATCCATCTCCATTTCTTCCTGCCTATTTGTTTCACGATCGGTTCCTGGTTGGTTCGCTCCCAGAGATCTTTGTTGCTGATCCTCTCCGGCCATTTGATCTTGAGTATTGAGCGAAGGCATTTGTTAATGAAGGTCTGTAGCTTGTTTGAGCTGCTCTGTGTGACACGCCAAGTCTCTGATCCGTATTTCACTAAATGAGCTTTAAATCAGTCACTAATTTTTCGCATTAAAAACACAAGATCCACATCACATTACTTTGTGTAATAGAGGACGGTTTTTGTAACTGACTGACAAGATGCTTAGTTTAGGCAGCTTCTGTTTTTAGACTAATGGTTGCAGCTGATTTGATTGTTTGTCAAAAGAATGAATCAAATCCTGTCCATTTGAATCCTGTGACAAGTTGAATTTTTACGTTAACCAACAGCTATCTGAAATCGGTTCACAACTGTTTTTACTTTTTACCCGCTGAATTAATAACTGACAGTGCGCTAATGAATATGTCCCAAAACTTGTTAATGGGACAGAAATTGACAGCTGGAGTAATATTTATATTATTAAACCACAAGTCTATAATTATACTTACAAAAATATTTTAATTTATTATATTACTATATAACAGTGTGCGACTTCATCAAAATAAAATTTTATCCATAATGGGAAAATATTTGGAGTTTAAAACTAGACGGAACTAAGACATGCAACGTCTATTTTATTTTCTATAGTTTTGGTTTGTAAGGATTAGTTATGTTTTACGAGTTGATCACGGACTGATATCAGTTAGAGGACCATTGAAAACCAGGGAGTACTGGACAGCTGCTGTTTCATCCTAGTTTGGGAATCATCGGCAGTACGCACCCACTGGGATTCGAACCCAGGACCTTCCGGTTACAAGGCAAGCTCGGATACCATTCAGCCACTGGGACCCGATTCAATGGCTCATGAATTCTAACTTCTACCAATTCGTGATTTTAGCGCGACCCCAACTATTGTCGTTGGTGAGACATCCATCCACACACGTGACTTCTAATTGGACCTCACTGGTTACGACTTCTCACTAGAACTCCAGGAAGCTCCAAACTCTAGCAAGTCTATTTTATTTTCTAACAATGAAAAATTAATTTGGTTAACGGTGATTACCAATGGAATCCACATTGAGTATTTCATCCTATCTGGGGCTCTTTGTCTGAATGTAGCTGCTATCCCCAGTGAGTGATATTGTCACCAATGACACTAGAACCCAGTACCCCTACATTCACTTCATATCAAAGCTTTATCCACTAGAGAACTTGGGTTATCTCTTGTGCAAGAGGTGTCAATTCTGACTTTCTTTTTCATTGAATTAAGCAAAATAGGGTGTGCGGACAGATGCTAACCAACAACATTGGCTTGATTTGTCATAGACTCGTAGAAGTTAAAACTCATGAACCAATTGATTCTGTCCAGTTTGCTGGTTGGCAGTGTGTCCGCCTTTTAACCTGAAGGTTCTGGTTTCGATTTTCAGCTAATTCGTTGTTGCCCACCGATGATATTTCCAATTAAGACGAAACAGATGTTCAGTACTTCCTCGTTTTCAATAGCTCTTTAAATGCTACCAGTTCAGAGGTGAAATCCAACTTAGAAGATCATAATTTCTCGATTCGAAATAACGAAAGGCAGTAATACGTTCATTTGATTTCCTTTAACAGAATTCATTTACAAGAGAGAATATTTGAGATCCCGATTTTTACTTTTAAAATATGACTTTCCCTTTATAAAATTATATTTGTAAAGTCTCAGCGATATTGAAATGAGTAATTCCAACGTTTCGTTTAACAATCTGGTCCGAACCTCTTCAGGGAAATTAATTGAAATTAACATAACAGAGATTTATATATAAAAGGAACATCTATTGTTTTTGAAACTTTGTCCAATCATGAGCCATGAAACAGGCATCAACATGCATAATAAACAAAATTGTATGAACTGTGATCAAAATTTGACTTCAGACTTTCAAAATTAGTAAACAAAATTGTATGTTTCTTTATAAAAGGATATCTCTTGTTTGAACAGACGTGAAGGTGTGATGTTAGCTGATGCATGGCAAATCCAGACTAATAAATAAAATTGGATATGTATCAACAACTAGTCACACTTGGTCAAATTCCCGATTATCCACGTCTTCTTATGGAGAGAATAACAAATGTTTTGTGACTGTTCACCCAAGCACACATACACACACCATTGTATACTGCATATACACATATATTTTAACAAAAGTCTGAGGTCAAATTTTGATCACAGTTCATACAATTTTGTTTATTATGCATGTTGATGCCTGTTTCATGGCTCATGATTGGAAAAATTTTCAAAAACAAGAGATGTTCCTTTCATATATATAAACCTCTGTTACGTTAATTTCAATTAATTTCCCTGAAGAAGTTCGGACCAGATTGACGAACGAAACGTTGGAATTAATCATTTCAATTTCGCTGAGATTTCACTAATATAATTTTATAAATTGTCTACTTCTCACTCGGTGCTCAACTGTTTTTCAACTATCCGGTCAAATCTTTATCCCAGTTCATATGTATGACTTTCCCTTTTTAAAGTATTTGTTTTTTCCACGTTAAATTTTCCTTGTTATTTATACAGTTTCTCGGGAACTTATTAATCATTCAAACTGTTCATTGTTAATTTCAAAATGTGTACAATTTACTAAAACTGGACAAAACACTTACCCGATAGGCCAGACGATAAGGACAATTCTTGCCAAATCCTACTGGTGGTTCCATGTTCCTCAGCATTTCATAAACATCACGATGATGAATAAGACCCCTATATGATAGAAAAAAGAAAATAACCAATTATTTAAATTCTCAATTTGTTAATTACACTGTTCTAGGTAATGATCTACCACACCTTCCTTTGGAAAACAGAATGATTATTCAAATCACAATATATATTATCTGATTGATACTGTTAATTATAATCGAGACAGCAAGTATAAATACATAATGGGGTATACTGTTGGTTGATATTAGTAGTTTAAAACTGCTCACACCGGTAGTTATTGCTTCCTAAACAAACTGAAGTAATGTAAATGATGCAGTTTCACCCATTCAGGCCAGGTTCATTAGTGGTGTACCCGTTTCGACTCACCTCAGAAGGTTGAATCAATTCAAGTCAACAGTAATCTGGCTGATTTCTATTAATTGTAAAATGATATTGTTTTTACTGGCTTTTATATAGACAGACAAATGGTGTTACTGTGGGTTCACCAGTCTCCCCAATATTCGCTGACCTTTCCATGAATAGATTCGAAAATAACATCTTTCAAGCATCCTCATTCCTAAAATATGTTTAAGATATGTAGATGAACTTTTGTAGTTCTAAAACAAAATCTACACAATTCATTCCTGGAGAAAATAAACTGTGTATCTCCCAGAATCCAGTTTACTTCGGAAGCAGGCAGAATTAGACGTCGGTGAACTACCATTTCTAGACTGTCTAGTCAAGAGGAGGGAAAACGGACATTTTAGTATATCCATATTCAGGAAGAAAACCCACTCCAATAAATATTTAGACTTCAAATCATCACACCCCATATGCCCAAAGATTTCAGTTGTTTCAAGTCTTCCTAGACGAGCACACTTTCTGATGACCAACGAGAAAGAAAAAGAAGAAATATCAAACATTACTGAAACTCTCAAGCAAAACAGCTACCCAAAAAACTTCATCAACAAAATCAACACAGACACTAAGTATGGCTGAAAACGCATTCCGAAAACGTGAACCTCAACAGTTGTCATTCCATATAGAGCAGAGACGTATCGTCAGACGATATCAGAAGAGTACTCAATAAGATCGACATCAGAGTTTTCTCCAAAACATCAGACACACTTCAAAGCAACCTTGTCCATATAAAAGACCAAATCCCTAAAGATTCACTATCTAATTGTGTCTATAAAATAAAATGCTTGGAATTTTATGCGACATACATCGAACTAGCATCACAATAAATCAAAATCAGAAGAAATGAACACTGTAGGGTATCTGTTCAATTGCCGAGATATCCAGTTGAACTAGAAAAACTTGAAAAATCATCAGCCATAGGACTACACGCCATAGAATCAGGCCACAAAATTGATTTTGACAGTATTGAAATAATCCAGAAAAAGCACTTCAGAAATCACAAGGAACGTCTAATATCAGAAGCACTTCATATCAAGTGGAATCCAAATTGCCTGAATAGGAATGATGGACTAAATCGGAATCTGACCTGGTTACAACACCTCCTTCACCCATGAAGTGACAAAACCAACACGAATGTGATAAGCGAGTTCACTATGTAAACACACACTGCTTTTATAATTCTACACACTGACCAAATCCAACAATCTACACTTCGTCTTGTTATCTTTACCCATTGGTCAACTTGACAACGAAAAGTGGCCCCAGACTGACGAACGATGATCAAGTTAGTAAACTTTATTTTGATATCATAACAGATGTACTATTACCTTTGTTATTTAGTTTAGTGATCTTCATTGTTATTTTGACTTTCAATATGTCCCTTTAACTTGACCTAAGTCTATTTTCTCACCTCTTAACTCTTTGTTATATGTATGCTGAGATTTTGTAAATTCCCGTTTAATAATACTTTGATAAAGCCATTAGCATTAAATAGCGAAACGTCAGTAAAAACAATATCGTTTTGTTTTTCATTCATTGGGAAATACAAAAACCTTTATTATAGTGAATTTCATATACCCAATGCCCATTTTTTTTCAAACTGTTAAAAGTGAGCTTGGTTTGGACATTTATAAATACAAATGACAGTTGTGAAAAGTATTAAACGCGATGTTACCGTTGAAATCAATCATTCATGTTCTGAATCAGTTATGAAGACATTCAAACTACTAATAGTTTAGCGAAAGCTAATTATCAGCCTTACTACTGGTCGGCTACAATTCTTGGAGATACACCCTTATGCGTTCATCTACTTTCATTAGATAAAGACGGCAAATAATACATAAAATTCACAAATACTAATTTACACATATGTATTTCATAATAAGCTTGATGAGACCTATATGAAGCGAAGCTTCAAACATACGGCATCATGCCACAAGTAGTCGATTAAAACTATGCTGGAAATTTGTATTAATGAACTTAATGATAATTACATCTATAGATTCAGATATTTTGAGCTTGACTACACTTATGGGTAAAATCTGTGACTACTCAAGGTGCACGTGTTAATCAGGAAACATCCTCTCAACTGGAATCATCTATAATACAGATTTCGACTAATTACTTTTCAAGTCATGCTTAAAATTGTGGTTAAAGTGCCGCTGAAATATCTTCATCAAATAATATTAACTGACGAGAGACTTTCAATTCTATTTTACTGAAGTTTTCCGCTTTTTTCAAGGTATCTAGTAAAAGAATGCATTTGTTAGCGTATAGTTTTATTAGGCCTTGCTGATGAGCATTCACTTGTCAATTTAACGCTTTCAAAACTTGTGATATAATTATCATAATTACGATTACTTCGAATAATATCTAGAAAGTATCGCATTCTTCGAATTTTCACTTGATTGCTTGTTTTTGTACTGGACTTTGTCTTCACATGAATATGATAATGTGAGCAACTACCGATAAAATAGAAAGTGTTTCTCTCCACTTAAATTCGTTCTAAAAATTGTTGAAAAACCTCTAAACAAAGAGCACACTGGATTTTCCGCTTGAAATTAAGTAATACTTATATCTTTAATCTATTCAGCTACGCTTTAGCTAATTCATAATTCTCTAATGATTGAAATCTCTTTCGTGTCATTATCGGTAAATAAAAAGAAACAAATACGTCATGACATACACTGTTAGTCACTGGTGAGACTCCCACAGCCAGGTATCAAAGCTCGGATAACAACAAATCATATCTTTCATCATTCTGACTGCAAATTTCGTGAATATCACAGAGGCGTTCGGGGTAACTACAACCCGTATGGATATTTCCTGTTAATACTAGTATTCTAGACATATTACTACACGTCATGTTAAAATTTATGGTGTTACTGTTACTTCGGTGACAGAAATGTAGGCAGTTAAGATGTTGAACATGACTTTATTACACTTAGTGATACAACAGGTCTGAATATGAAGATCACTAAGAGCTATGGTAAATCTTCCTCTGCCTTGCTCGCTGAGGCTGTAGTCCCTCAACATGCTGTTCCTTCTCTTTTCCTTTTTTCCTTCTTCTTGGATAACATGCTACTTTCAGAAGAAAACTACTTCGCTAAGTACCCTGATGACCTGACTGTCTCAGTGCCAGTTGCGCCCCAATCTGACTATTCCAAACTTAATAGCCTTTTGTCGTACATAAACCAGTGGTCTAAGCTAAATGGCCCCACCTTAAGTCCTTCTGAATGTCAGACCATTAATCTGATCTACAAGAACTGGGCCGTTCACAAGATGATTGTATCTTAGATGGCATTGGAATATAAAGTAAGTCAAGCACAAAAACTTTGGAATAGTTCTATCCTCTGACCTTTCTTGGTTATCCCATATCTTGTTGATTTCTAAGAAAATGCTCCGTCTAGCTTACTGCATTAAGAAGTTGAGACAATCAGGAATCACACAGCCTCTACTTTACAACTTGTAAACTCTTGCATATTACCTATAGTACTTCACTATAGTATTTAGTCTTCGCAGGTCTACTCAAAAAGGGCTTTGTCATTTTTTTCAGGGTATTAAAGATTGTCAGTATGGCAAGTGGTGTACTACTAAGTCAGCTTGTTACTACTACAGTCGACAGACACTTGACCTCATGTGAGGAGTGGTCTGAATCGATATTGTATCAAGGATACTTTGAAATTATATCATACAGTTTTTCTGACTTACGGTTTATAAACTTTTGATAAATGTGTAGAGGGTCAAAGGAACTAGCCAATTCAGTTAAACCTCAGTCATTTCTCCTTCAGTAAATAATTTTTTATCCGTGCTGAGTGAACCACATTGAGGAATTGGAGTTTCTAGGGATAAGACTGCATTTGCTGCGATGTGCTGTGTCTATGCATCTTTATTTTCTCTTTATACTAACGCTAACAAATACATCCTAGCCCAGCCTTAATTACCATGTACTCCCTTCACTTGTTGGGGAGGTTTTAAGAGCAGCCAGGTCACCGGATTAGGTGTAACAGGCTAAAAGGTTGATAAGTAGTGTGGCCAAAGGTCAGGTCTAGCAAGATAGATGGCCGCACAACAGTCATGAGCGTTATTTCTAGTTGAAGCCAACTGAAAATGGTTTAACTAGAGCAACTAACTGGCTTCCTAGAAATGCTCATGTAGATCAATCTATGTATATATGTGAATTATATTTTTCAAATGTGTTGTTTGCGTGGATTTGATTAATTCAGAGGCGTATATCCTTATGAAAAGGTGACGCTGGAGATTGATAGATACCAGAAGAATGTTCTTTCCTGTTTGAGACAGTCCAGCAGTGCATACATAAGATTTAGCCACAGGTGGAACCTTGTGCAGGTGGTCATAAAATTGATTTTTCATCTACTCACTGAATCGGGATCAAGTGGCGTCTGAATTCTAATTTCTTTTAATTTGAAACATGACCCTCCCCCTCACCTGATATCTACGGTGAGATAACACCTTTTCGGATAAAACATAACTAACTTTTTTGCAGTTTCACATTTACTTACTTTGCTCCAGGATCGTATTCAGCCCAAACACGCACAAATTCATCAAGATGATGTGGACCAAGTATAGAAGAATCTCTGGTCAAATAATCAAAATTATCCATAATAACAGCTACGAATAAATTCAGCATGATAAATGAGCATAAAAAGTTGAATGTTGCAAAGTATAAGTATGTATAGGAACTTCCACATGATTCTCCAGATCCTTCACATTCTTTACCGGCTGCACAGTCCAGCATAATTTCTTGCCAATTTTCACCAGTTGCACATCTAAGAAACAAAAAAACGAGAATTTAAAACAGTAATGTCTACAGTTTATCATATCTATGAATGTGAATGAACATAAAATAAGATTCAAATGTTAGTATCGAATTTCAAGAGAATGAAGCCTAACTATCGTTGAACATGTGAGACGGCTCAGCACGGATGGCTCAGCTAAAATGACCAGAAAACAAGTTTTCAAGCATTGGTATTGTAGGGATCTTGTTTGATTGGATGGAGGGTTTCATGATGAGCTGACATCAGTTAGCGAAACACTGGAAAACCTGGGAGTACTGGACAAATGTTTCGTCCTAGTTTGATACTCTTCATCGGTACACATCCACTGACAGTGTTCGAACCTACCACCTTCTGGTTACAACGCGAGCTCGTAGACCATTATTTACTGTGACTCGATCCAATGGCCCATGAATTATAACTGATGTCAGCTCATGATGAAATGCTCCATCCAGTCAAACAAAATACCTTAAAAAATACCTAAAAATCTCACTTAACTAAATGTATCATTATTTCTTTCTTTTTCCAATGAAGACCTGAATATATATATATGTATAAGAAGATTTTCACGAAGAGAAATCTTATAATTTCACTGTTTCGGTAAAGTGTCATCGGTCACGTCAACTGTCAGCTAAGTAATTTATAAAGTCATCCCTTTGGGGAGGATTTGTGAAACGACTGTTTAGCTCTACAGTTTTTGTGATGTTGTTCTATATATTTAGTTCACAGAAGTATCTTTTTTTTATTGACTTAGAAGAAAAAGAGGCATTCAGTGAAGAGTAACTATTTCATTTATTTTTAAAAAATCATTCATTGAGACTCTCTCTACTCCTGAAGACAGCTTTTGTAAATGACACGATTTCGCTACTATCGATGTGTACCTCCTAAAATTCAATGTATATTCTCTTTTTATGTAAGGTTTTTGCAAAACATCTGACAGATAGAACGGCCATCACTTATCTAACACAGAATGTAACGAAATTGTTACTTAAAACAAAAAATTAGGTACAAGTATGAAGCTGATAGAAACGTACTTATTCATTAATTTCACCTTAGATTTCATCAGAAACCATCACCAGTAAGAGAATTACTGAAAACCGTGGAGCACTGGAAAGACATTTCACTCTAGTTTGAAACTCCTCAACAGTGTGAATCCATGACCCAACCAGCGATAGAACTCAAAAATTTGAAATAGAGGAGCCAGTTCGTTGACTATTGGGTCCTTGGGTCGGATTTATTGACTCTCTGACCAATGTGATCGATTAGCATTCATTCCCCTCTGAGATGAAGTGAAGGAATTCATAATTCAAAGGTTTAGTCGATTGTCAGAAAGTGGGTTTGCACTGTTCAAGAGTCCCAAACTAGTATGAAATATCTGCTTATTGCTCCGTGGTTTTCGATTATTATCTAACTGATAGTACTTTCTTATGAAATCCATGGTGAAGTTAATCCCACTCCCCGTAAAACCCATAATTAATTAATTCGTATGATTGAATTTGTATTTCCCGCTATTTGATAATACTGTACTAAAATGCTCTGTCTCTGTTTATATGTAGACTTGAATTTAACATTCTCATTTCGTCTAATTTGGGGCTTTTCAGCTGCAATCCATCGTTCATCGTTCCAAGAACCAATCTTTTGTCCACTAGGTGACTAATGGCTGAGTTCAATTTCCACTTAGAATGCTATCAGTCACTGGGGATGTAGGTATGTACAGACTTAGAGCCCCAAATGGAACGAAATACGCTAGCCACAATCAACTAAATAACAATCAAATATTAAGAAGACCAACAGTATTGTATTTCAAACTGTAATTCTGATATGTAATTCACTTTGGACTTTTCCGTTTACTGATTAGACTGAAGTGGTCAGCCTCAGGTTGAAATACCGGCTACGTATACAGATGCCTTAACGATGTCTGATTGTTGAACTTGAAGTACATTGATGGATGGTGAATAGTGATGGAATTCAGGATGTGCATTTCGTCCTACTTGGAACTGGATGATCAGATGTACCTGCATTCTCCAGTGAGTGATGGTGTTTCCACCGAGGCTAGAACACACTACCCATGGTTCAATACGCCTAAGTGTTATCCACCTGACCACTTGGTCCGCAAGAGCCACCTCTTGTGCAAATATGACAAAATGCACATCCCACACATTCCATCAGTAGTCACCAGTTCACTTCAAATTAAATAATCAGACATTGTCAGAGTATCTGCACAGGGCGCTGACATGCCAACCTCAGGCCGAGAGTGAATGAAATAATTGTACAAGAGGTGGCTCTTGTGGACGTAGTTATCTAGTGGATAACGCTTTAGAGTTTGATATTACGGGTAGTGGGTTCGAAACCCGGTGGGAATAATATCACTCAATGGGTGGGGTGGGGTGAGGTTACTTTCAGTTGACAAGTCCTAAACAGGATGGATTCAACTACCAGTCACCATCTATCAATTTATCACATGAAGTTCTGATAATTGTCAACAAAGGTTTCTTATGCGTATGAATGTTTCCTGCCAGAACAAGGAAATCACTCTGAATGATTCAAAGCAGTCAAGGACAGTTGTGCATAAAAACACGGTGTCTATATATTTAGTCAAAATATTTACGTTGCTCATAGGATTTTTTGTTTATTTTTCTTTCTTGTTTTGATAATGATCTGCCTCTTATCATTACTACTGTGTTATGATAGCATTTAGGTGAAATGTTTTACAGTTATACTTTAACATTGTAAATCGTGTTTTGCAGGATATGATTTTTAAGAAGACATAACATAACATAATCTAATAGTCTTTTTCTTCTAAAAGTCGTATTACTACTACTTTTATATTATTTTTGCTCCAACTCACTTCCTGTGCTATTTCACTTGAACTTCCTCTAGAGTTTTAACATTTATAGAGAATATTTTATATGGCTGTGAGATAGCTTATCTCATCTGTATTTTGCAATGCTCCGTTTGTTATAAGTAGTGTACGCGTCATCGTTTTCATTCTATCGTGAGTTGGACAAATTCTTGAGGACTCTTGGGTTTTTGAACAAACGTTTTCAACAAGGAGATATCTCTTACCCCTTAGAATTTCATCATTTGTTATGCAGTAATATGAGAAATTTAGAAGTTGTATCAAAATAGGGACTTACTAGGAGTTAATCATGAAGTTAGGTATTAGAAGATAAAAGTGCTAAAGAAAAGTGTTTGTCTAGTTACCTAACAGCTAAGGAGGGAATTTTGAGAAAGTGTAACCGGGATTTTTTTTATCCTTCACGTTCCCCAGTGGAACACAGGGCTTCAAGCTAGTGGCTTAAAGTTTCTGTAGCAGTGTTCAGTTTAGAGGATGGGGTTGCTAGCCTCATGCCTAACCTTTCCTCTTCACCAGCATTATTTCTGGCTTAGCGAGGTAAAGAAGTGCGTCGGCCGGGGGTCGAAAACCGGACCATGTGCATGGTCGGCGAGCGTCCCAACCGCTATGCCACCGACGCAGTAACCGGGATAAAGAAATTAATTTTATGGATCGAGTTTCTTAAATGCATAAGTCGAAAGACAATATTCAAGATGAATTTCCAGTCAAAGACTAAAGTCAGTCGTTAGGTGTGGAAGGGAAATGAACTAATATTATGCACCACAGGGAGCTGATTCAAAAGTTTAGGGGATTCAGGAGAGGGACATTGAATGAAAAGTCTTTTCTGTTTGGTAAAAACTAAAAATCGCAAACCGGATTTGGAGAGTTCTCAGTTTGCAAAATTAATTTGTCATCTGCACAGTTTGAGGTGAAATTCTCCCGTTGTTTCCTTTGGTATGAGTGGTATGACACTACTCATCCGGTCAATCAGTAGTATAAGGCTTTAAGGAACCGGAGAGTGACGTTTCCTTGGAATTTATAATTAAGGTAGGGAAATTTGAGTTTTAAACTTTTGAATTACACATAAATTTCATTATCGCTGCTTTCAAGAGACTCTGTAGGACTTTCTGTAAGGCTTTCCATAAGAGTCCAAGATGATTCAGGCATTTGAAGTTTGTGTGATATCTACTGATAAAGGTGAATAGAGATTTGTGATTATCGAGTCAGGTGACATTCGTGATGATATTCGACTAACAAAAGCGTACTATGACTAATGTTGTCACTTCTAACCTCCGTCTTCTTATTCTGTGGCTTAGTGAGGATATTTAATTACTTAAGCTTAAAGGTCCTATCAAATGAATACATGTTGACAGAATACGTCTGAGCATAAAGCAATGAAACAATATTCTTGACAGGATTCAAGGGTTACAGCCGTCTCTAAAAGTATTTCATGTTCATTCACTAAAAATTAATGTAAGAGTTTGAAATACATTAAAAATTGTCATTATTACAGAGTTGGTGCAAAACTGTTTCAAAAGCTGGCGCCATATTGAGTTTATATATACGGGACAAATTCAGAAACTGTGCTGAAAATTATTTATTTTGTTGGAGAGTTCCAAAATTAACTCAAAGTAAAAGTTGGCAACTTTGAATTTTAATTTTTATTACCCCATACTTAACCGTGAAAGATGGTCCTAACAAATTATGCAACTAACATTTACCTTACAGAGGTAAATATTAGCAACATCATGAGTCTACTAATCGTGAATGAAAATCCCATAAATTTCTGAATTTCATGTATAAATTTGGGGTAAAAATTTTGATTGCATAGAAATATAGATTCCCGAAACTTCAATTAGCCCTTGACATTATGAATACAATTCTAATAAAATGTTGGAGAAGAATCCTCTACGAGACATTTACCTTTTCGAAACGCTATCCTATAATATAAAGTCGATCAAACTCTGTTGTAGGTGCATTATTGGAAGATTCCTAATAACTACCAATAAGTAGGCGATTTAAAATATTCTATCCTTCTGTATAGTGGTGTGAAAAACTTTAATCATGACCTAAACGAGAAGAGGATATTTGCCTGTTAAATCTGTTTACTTTTCAAATATCTAAATGGAAAGTTTAAATATTATACTTCTTGATGTGG